CAAACAGCAAAGGATCCCCCAAACATCCTTCTTTCCCCCCGGGGGGGGGGCCCTTAAGACCATGCAATAAGTGATAATTGAGGATAGATCAATTAGAGTCTAGAGATTTTCACTTTCGCTTTCATGTTCCACTTCAGCTTACCCTAGTGAATGTACATTCACTAGGGTAAGCTGGTACAAACCAGTGCAAACTGGTGTATGCACCTGCACAGGTTCTTCTTTACAATTTTGGATGAGTTTAACAACTGGTAAACATTTATGATCAATAGCATGTACATCGCCGAATTGCCCTTGGACAAATGACTGTTAGTTTCACCCCTGACCTAACCAAGTGATGGAATTTGGTTTTCAAATTGGTTGAACTCCAACTCGCCTTTAGAGCTATTTCCAGACTCTACAAGGATGTATCCTGTTAACAGTCTTATTTTTACTCTTTTGACATCCATAATTCTTGAGCTACGGAACACTTAATCTACAAATATGCTAATCTACCCTAGACGTTGAAAACGGTCTAATTAATTGTCTATTGACAGCTCACAAAATGTGCCTTAAATGACATTTTTTAGCTGACTGGCACCGTTTAGTGACCATTTTCGACATTATAACGGGGAACACATTAACGCCTAAAAGTAGCATTTCTTTAACAATCAAGAAACAGGCTGAAAACAAGCATTTAATGGGGACCATTTAATGGGCGTTTTTGCGTACTTATTGGCTGCTCATGTGCCAAGGATGTGACCGTTGATCATGACTAATTTCTTTCTGATCACTACCGTAAAATAAAGGACGTTTTCAAATTTTTGAATATGGACAAGTCTGCGTTCGGGCAAACATTACATAGGTCAAGCTGGTCGTCGTCAGCAAGAGTCATATTTGTTAACTTGAACAAAGGAACACGTTCAGGAAGCCGTCAGTCAGAAAGCATCTGGTAGTAGAGAATTAAATCATGCTATCCGCACCCATCGTCCTAACGATTGGGATTTACACATATTCCCAGTAAACGAGGATAAAGAAAATCTCAACGATTTTGAGAACTATTATATCAGACAATTACAAACCCAGTGACCCAATGGCGATAATATTAACTTGCCTAATAACCTAACTTTTACTGATCCATTAGCATCGGATGATGTCCAGCAGTTCATAGGTAACAACAATAGTAAACGTACTCAGTTTCAGAAGTTAAACAGCAGTAGCGATGAATCAAAATTCTTTAGCGATCAGTTAGCAAACGCCGTCTTAGACTTATGTTATACACTGCATGAGTTATGGTGTAATCGTTATCCTAACAATGGAAGATTTTGTTCTCACGTTGATCGCTTAGAGCTCCCTTCTACTAAAGAAATGCATACAAAGCTGAGGAAAACCCTGTCAGAATATCTAGATTTTTATAGCATGTCAGACTTGTATGGTGGAGAAAAACGATCAGGTACTTTGCTGTACTCTCTAAATATAACTTGTGCATGTAAAACTAATGTCCATGTGTACGTTCGTGTAAAATTTGCATATACAGATGATTATGAGTGCATAAGAGATATCGAACTTTGTAATTTTGAAACCTGAACCAATTGTGTATAATAGACTTCACATTTTGTTTTTCAAGAGGATTAAAAAATCAATAATTAATCAGCTTTGACAATTTATTTGTGACTACAAACTACAAACGGTGTTTGAAGCGAACTTGAATAATAGCAAAAAGAACTGTTTATTGATGAAAAAGAAGTGGTATCTAATAAAGAGAGATGAAAAGTCGGAATGAATTGAGGATAAGCAGGAATATCACTATGGAAAATATGGGGGGGTAAAATAGAATGTTTTTTAGGTTAATTAGCGTGTTTCTAAGCAGATACTGATCGACGAAGAATTGAATTCTCTACATTTTTTTATCATAAAAACAGAAAAAATTGCTTTTTTGTTGAGAATAAATAATAGAATTTCACCCATTCATTAGTATGCTAATTTGTCTTTTCTGCTTATAACAGTGCCAGTTAACTGGGGAATACCTGTAACTGGTGCATACCCACGGTCAACTACAAAGCCTGAAAAAATTTTTAGTATTATATCGATCGGCAGTTTCGGTATTACCGAACCGATACATCCCTACAACGAACAGGTCTTAATTTTTTGTAAAGTGCCAATAATTAAAAATTACAGCAGAATTTATTTTTCATTTATTTGTACATGGTTGAATAGAGCACATCGAGATGGTTAGGAAAATGCATTTTGAGCGTTTCCAAAAACTTTTTTTGTAGGAGAAAATTGCAAAGCTTTGAAGATAGCTCATTTTTAATAGAACGCCTTATTTTCAAAAAAAAATTATTTCTGGGCTTCAGGATTATTTTGAAAGCCCGAAATTGATTTTTTTGAATTCAGCATTAAAAGCTGAACCGAGAGGTCTATTTTTGTGATTTCTAGAACCTGAAACAGAATTTAAGCGTGTTAACCGGGAGCAAATACTCGAAAGTCTCACCAGATCATTTTGCCAACCTATTAGTCTTTCCTATTAACACATTGCACGCTGTCCACTGATATATCAGTAGCCCAATTTGTTCTATTCAATGATGTCGTCAGCGGGCAATGGGTTAAGCCAAGATTTTTATGGTTTTCTAGAAAACATCTAAAATACGTTTTCACCGAAAACCATCCACGATGTTAGAGAAATGAGAAACGCCAAAATGAGACCTTTCTGAAGTTTCAAAGGTGTTAAGTACCATGAGAAATTGTGAGTATCAAAATGTAGAAAAAATAAATGTATAATCTCAAAGAGAGCGAAACTTTTTCCAATGGTTTCACAAGCATTAAAACACGGTTTGACTATATTTTTGTGTAGTGTCAACTCCGCGCTTTCTCGTCGTATAGAGCGAAAATCGTTTGAATCTAAATATCCGACGCAAAGGTTAACTTCTCAACAATCAAGTGAAAATAGCAAAAATTGTTACCTTTTTTTTGCGCGTTGGAACAAAACAATTTTTTTTCCAAATCTTAGTATAGAGAACCGATCATAACGACTAATCATTTGTTTTCAAAATTAAAAAAATCAACTTGAGTGGATCAGGTTTGACTAAGCCTTATTTGTTGTATTGCAAGGCTGAAATTATTGGTAAAAATCGTCATTTTTTGAAAAATTGGCAAAAAATAATGAAACTCTTACGCTCTCATTCTAACTGAAAACTATTTAAATTATAGACAGAAAATAGAACTTTTTGAGGCGTATACGGTGGCTACTTCAGCTTTCCTCTCTCGCAAACTTTTAGCAGATAATACTAAAACAAAAATAAATGTAATTACGTTTATTTTTTTTTACATTTTGGTACTTCTCACAATTTCTCATGGTATTTTACACCTTCAGATTTTGTAATAAAACAGTCAGTACATTTTTTGTAAAGAATTCAATGGCGAACCTTTTGATACTAGCTCAATCAAGTGTAAGGAGCAGGAGAAGATTTGAAAATACTAACAGCGCAATTTTTTATGGGCCCCCCGTTAGTTTTATTTTTGCGTCATGTTCATGGATGCTCACTATCACAGCGTAGTAAAAGTAGTGTTCAAAATTCGACTTTGTAAATGTTTCTGTTTGACCGAGTCACATACCACCAAATCATTATCCCGCTCATCCGGTAAGATCATACAACAATTAGTAAATAAACGAAATAGCCATGAGCCTTTACCGCTGTTATTCGGCACATCATAACAACGTTCATATTGTTCGTCTTTTGATGTCTGTTTACCTAACATGTTTCACCAGATAGCGCTTGTGTACGGTGTTAGTTTTAGTTGCAAAGAAAACACTTCAAAAAATTGATAAATTTGCCACTAACTAGATGCCATCACAGCTAGAAGTTACGCTGTAAATGTGATTTACGGATTAAATTAAGATGAAAAATCTCATTGGTTATTCAATAATGAGTAATTTGTACTCTCACTCTAAAATATATAAATATATATTAACAACAACAATGAAATGAACTGAATAAGTCATATAATCTAATTCCGTGAATGAACGAAATGTAAAATTGATCAATAATCAATGCCTAGCGATATAACATGTACACGAAGAAGAAAACGCGGCAAAATAATTAAAGGAAAATTTCGATTAGAAGACGTAGGGCTTTGTTCACACTACAAAAGTTAAAGAGAATTAACGAATTTGATTGGCCGATAACAACTTAAGTTGTCACGAAAATCTGACTTAAGTTAGAATTAAGGATGATTATTGGTCGTGAAGGTAATTAAGATGAGCAGTGCGAACAAGGCCTAAACATTTCGTCTTCGAAGGAACAGGGGGTCGTATTACGAAAAAATTTAAATCATGATTTAATTTTTTTAAGCCCGACTTAAACCGTATTACGAAAAGGCTTAAGTTGGTGATTTATTTACTTTTTAAAGTCGTTGACAATAGTGACAAACTTGGGACAAAAACACGCGAAATAACGAAATATTTACTCTCTAAACCTTAAAAAGCCGTTTTTATCGAATCGTATCGTTAAATCGAAAAATGCGTTAATAATTTAAGTCCAACTTAAGTTTTCGGTCTTAACTTTAAGATTGCATTTCCCATCACTTAAGTCGCCCTTTGACTTAAGTTTTTTGTAATACGGTCCCCAGATGCTTATCTCTTCAAGTACCAGCATTCCTACTCTCCAAAATAGTTTTTATTCTTATTTTTCGCTGCCAGTAGAGCGAAAGTCTTGCTAATACCAAAAATACTCTATCCGAAATGGTTAGTTGACGGAACTAGGTTAAGATTATGGAAAAAAAGCGTATTTGCTCTATAATCTCTCACTAAGCTGTCTCATTGCATCCAGTTACAATTAAATTATGACGATTAATATGATCCTTGTATCAATTATATCATATTTCAGATCTAATTAACTATGACTGGACGACTTCCAGCTGTTGTTATTGATAATGGAACTGGGTAATTATTCTTTTGAATACTTGAAGTAAAATTTATTAATGCACTGTCATATATTTCTACAGCTATACAAAGCTTGGTTATGCAACAAACAACGAACCACAATTTATCATTCCATCAGGTACAAGTCAGACCGATCAAACAAACAGCAGGTTAATAAGCGTGTGTTGTTTTATACAATTTTAGCAATTGCGGTTCGAGAAAGACCTGGAGGTGTTAGAGTTGGACAAGCTGGAGAAGATTTAGATTTTTATATTGGAGATGAAGCATTTAGTGCCAAAGGTATTTTTTTGTTTATGTTTTATTGATATATTTACTCTTGTTTTTTTTACTTTTATAAATCAGGATACTCTGTGAAATACCCGATAAGACACGGTATTGTAGAAGATTGGGATTTGATGGAAAAATATTGGGAACAATGTTTATTTAAATATTTACGCTGTGATCCAGGTAAAATATTTTCAACACTAGACAACCCATCATAATCACTGTGTTTTTTTCTATTGCAGAAGATCATTATTTTTTATTGGTAAGTTTAGAAAACAAACAGCTTTGTTGGTAAGAATCATATTTTTTCCACTATTAGACAGAACCGCCGTTGAATACACCAGAGAATCGTGAATATACGGCGGAAATTATGTTTGAATTATTCAATGTACCCGGTTTATACATCGCATTACAGGTAAAAGCATTTGCCAGTGATTTTTATAAGCTCATATTCAAGGATTCTCATGTCTCATAATGTAAAATCTCCCTTGTAAATCTAATTTAGAAAAAAAGATTTTCTCTCTCGTCATTTTAGGCTACATTAGCACTCTACGCATCATGGATCGCTAGTGATGTTAAAAATATGCTAACTGGACTTGTCATCGATTCTGGTGATGGTGTTACTCATGTTGTTCCAGTTGCCGAAGGATATTTAATTGGTATAATTCTATTTGTTCTACTATAATTATGCTAAATCTCTGAAATTATGGTTTTCTCATTTAAAGGTAGTAGTATTAAACATATACCAATATCTGGTCGTGATATAACATATTTTGTTCAAACATTATTACGAGAACGAGAACCAACGATACCTCCCGAGCAATCATTAGAAACAGCAAAAGCAATTAAAGTAATTCTAATTTTATTAACGTTGTATGTTCTTTAATGTTTAAAGCCAAATATACTTTTTAGGAACGTTATTGTTACGTTTGTCCGGATATTGCTAGAGAATTTTCTAAATATGATGAAGATCCAAGAAAAAATTATTTAAAATATACCGGAATTAATTCTGTTACAAAACACCCATTTTCCGTTGATGTTGGCCATGAGAGATTTATGGGTCCAGAAATTTTCTTTCAGCCAGAAGTATGTTTGTCTTCTATCTCTTTCTTTCATATAAAAATTACTCGGTATTTCTGTTTTAGTTTTCTAATCCAGAATATAACACATCTTTGTCAAAACTGGTTGATGACACTATTCAAGACTGTCCTATTGATGTACGAAGAAAACTATATAGTGTAAGTACGCTAAAGTTATTTGAATATTACAGTCAGCAGATGTATTTACTGAATTTTTAGAATATTGTCTTATCTGGAGGAAGTACGATGTTTAAAGGTTTTGATAAACGATTGAAACGAGATGTTCAGCGTCTAGTTGATTTAAGACTAAAGGAATCAGAAGAAATTAGCAAACATAAAGTAAGTCATTTTTAATATATACATTTTTTGACTAATTTTCTTAAATTAATAATTACTGTAATTTATTCTAGAAAAAAATTTTGTTTATACTAAACAAATATCTTATTTTTTTATTTCTCTTTAGCCTGATCCCATTGATGTTAAAGTTGTTGCCCATGCAATGCAACGGTATGCCGTATGGTTTGGTGGAAGTTTAGCAGCTAGTACAGTAAGTAAATCATTCGAGAAAAACTTTATTTTATTTTATTGTCGGTTTTTTTTTCTACTTTAGTCAAGCTTTTATGAAGTGTGTCATACAAAGCTTGAGTATGAAGAGAAAGGACCAAGTATTTGTCGATATAATCCTGTGTTCACTTTGGTATGAATTAAAAATCAAAATTCCGGTTTGTTTTTATCTATTTTGTGCAATTGAGTGTGCAATTTCTTCATTTTGTGGGAATGATTTTTTTTTTGTGTGTCTGGATAATTTTTTTTTAACTATCGTTTTTTTTATAGTTTGTTTTGGTTCAGTGAATAGATTTGCTATTTTCGGTTTTTTATTGTTAAATACTGATAACAAAGAATTAAGTCCATTTTCACACTACTAATGTCCGTCCTCTTTTTTCAACATCTAGTTTATAAATATGAACAAACATTCTATCAAGAAATCGAAAATATGATCTCATACATACATATAGTTGAGTTTGTAGTCATATATAATTATTCTCGAGCGTCATACTTGGATTCGTTTTTTTTTTCTTTTAAGAAATGTCTATTTATAAAAGTTTGTTTTGTTTTCATAATAAAATCTTTAACTTTATTGATCAATAACTATGTATATATTAGAAGCAGAATATTTCAAGAATACTCTCTGGTATTGATTCTTTATGAAAATTCAATCAAGGTTTCTATCATACCAACAAAAGTACTATCATAAAAGTATTTGAAAAGAAGAAGTTAGTCTGCATATTCATCCTCTTTCTCATCTATTTGCTGTTGAGTAATGTTCGGTGTTTGTGTTGATTCTAATATTTTTTGGTGAGATTTTTGACTATTGTTGATTATCATTGTTGGTCGCTCTTTACTGAGAGCATAAACAAGTTGAACTTTTGGTTGGTTTCGATTTATATTTTCCATGGATTTCAATTCTATACTCATTTGAAGTTTTTTATATTGTCTCAATAATTTATCGTTGATTGTTTTGATACCACTGTAAAGTGGTATCATATTTTCTATTGTATACGCAATGGTAACTGGATAATTAAGAAATATATTCTCATTCTGATTTTGTGAATATAACGAATAAATATTCACAGCTAAATTTGATTGAAATTGTTTTCCTTCTAGAATTGCACGACATAATTTAGCTATAATAAACGATTGTGTCCAGTTTGAATGAGTTTTATAGCGATATATTTTCTTCACAATATTTGTTAAATCATTAGACAATAACAGTGATGTTAAAGATGAAGTTTGATTCTTATTTTCTTTCGTATTGAAATATTTCACTGATTTTGCTTCTCTCAAAGATATATCATCAATGACAGATGGTTGTCGTCTTGTATTCAAATATATATTATTATCTTTTTCAAATAGTAAACTTAGATCACTTTTCTTCTCATTGTTTTTCAAATAATTTTGTCTGTCTTTTTTCTCTCGATTATCCTTTTCTTCTTCGTTCATGGTATTTTCATTTGCTCTAAATATTGATTTTACTAATCTTCTAGGTCTGGTTGAGGGTGTTTGTCGATCTATTCTTTTTCTTTTCACAGCCATTTCGTTTTCAGAGACAAATTTTGCTGATCGGATACCATCTTGTACAGTTGCCTTTGTTTTAATTTTCTTATTTAAACTGGGTACAACATTTTTTTTCAAATCATTATATATTATACCATTTATATTGACATCATCTGATAAAATATTTCCACACTCATTTAGATGTCTATTATCGCCAATGTATAACACTCCGTTCATTTTGCCTGTCATTAATAACGATTGAGACAATATTTGATACAGATGAGCGGTTTCCACCGCAGCACCTACACCTATGACACGATCTGATGAAAATCCACTTACTTTCCATGCAAAATAAGTCATCAATTCATTCGGTTGTGTAACGATTAATAGTGAACAGTTAGGAGAATATTTACATATTTCTAAAACAACAGTTTCTATTAAATAGGCATTAATTTGTGTCCATTTCATTATCGATTCATTAGCTAAAACCAACAGTTTTCATTGTATTAGCGTCCTAGAATCACAATCATAACAGAAACGAACCTAATCGATTATGTTGTACATTAATGATGACAAGTGTACTATTTTTTGTTTCATAGTACGAATGTGAATACTGAATTTTGACATCTAATTTATTTAATATTGCAACTACTTGAAGATCAAATATTTGTAATTTTGCTTGTTTAATCCCGTGTATGTCAAATAGTTTTATACTATGGATGAGACACTTTTGTGATAGTAGACATGATATAGTAGAATATGTTATCGGATTACAACCAATAAAACAAATGGAAGAAGTTTGATAACGTTTTAAAGGAGAAATTCGACTGAGAAGACGATTTTGTGTGCTGGTTGTGCTTGGAAATTGAGGATAGCATGTGGACGGATGAAGTCTCATTCGTTCTCGTTTTTGATCTGCAGATATTTTGGGATTATCTTTTCTACTTCTTAAAGTTTTTAACTAGGTTGAGTTTTGGCGCTTTACTTATGTGTAGCATAAACAAAAAACTGGATACTGCTTAACAATATAAACTGAAGCTAATGATTCGTGATATTTGTGATAATAAGTAATAAATAAAATCTGTTTAAAATCTATTTTTACTTCATGATCAGTTACATTTACGGTAATGGTACATGGTAAAAAACGTGTTCTCCGAGTCTTTGGAGAACTCCAAAAACAACAAAGGAAAGTGAGTTGTTTATTTGCCCCATAGAGTTTGTCCGCTCACTGGATAGCTTGTATGACTCCTCTAAAGAACTCAATGAGTTTTTTTAAATGCCCAAGACCTCGATAACCTAACAGCATGAAGCCTGGAAAACGATGAGGCTCTAGAAAGGTTGAAACTAGGTCATTTTTCTGTGAAAGTTTTCATCATTAGTTGAAACGGAGCACACAAAATCATGAATCAATTGACGGTTCCTGTCTCGTAGATGACGCTAGTGTACATATTGATGGAAACGAGACAAAGTTCAAAATGAAAAGTCCTGGTGCAAAATGTAGATGTCTTATTCAGCTTCAATGATTCTTAAGAAGATTTTTTTTGCCCACGAAACTTCTGGAGGTTATTTGTATTCTTATTGGGGGAAAAAAGGCCGCTTATATTGTGCCGAATAAAAAAAGAAAGACAACAAAGCACTTACAGCGCTTACAAGGAATCAACAACTGCACTGAAATTTCTCTCTGCTCTTAACGTAATAAGTTTCAAATCATTTTTGAGTTGTTTATCATTTGGTATAGATACAGCTAGAAAAGTGCTGTTTTTGTGTACTTTGAAAGCACTTTTGTCCAATGAACTTTTTTTCTTTAAAAATGAAAAATTATACGAAAGAAGCACTCTATTCACTGTCCCGAAAAAGTACGGTAATAGTATACAAATAGCACAGAAAACGTGTACCATTGAAAGTCCAACCTACCAGCTCCAATACGGATAAATAGTACACTTTTTTCGTGCTTTCAACACGCTCTGGTAATCAAAAGGACACTTGTGTGCTTTTTTTCTCCTATTATTCTCCTATTGCTCACGTTTTACCAAAAATACAAAGCATGTCATCGAACGGCACGGTAAAAGCGTCCAACAGCACGTTTCTTCCGACAGCATGGAGCAAATGTCATGACGGCGCGGTCAAAGTGCACCAACAGCATGGATGAAGCATGCCATTTAAGTTTACACAGGCCCCTCGGCACATATGTTCCATGCCGTCAGCATACTTTTACCATGCTTTTTCAGGACAGTGTTTTCCGGCTATTACATAAAATTCATTCTGACTAATCATTGGTGGTGTGAGTTCTTGTTTTAGAATGTCTTTTGCTGCTGCGTACCGATTTCTGTAAAATAGTTCCAGAAAGAGAGCTCTTATAGACGTAGTTGTTAAAGTGAGCATATTGTTATGCTTTGAACCTCAAAACTTTTGTAAATTGTGTAAGGGAAATAATTTTTATGATGATATTGCTTAGGACGAAGTAGAGGGACCGGAGTCTGGAAAGAAGAAGGAAAACTATTTGATGCTCAAGCTTCTTTTGTAGATTGACTTAACTCACGATCTTTTTATTGATCTGGTTTTTCATTTCATTTTTAGATATTTTTCTTGTCTGTGAAGATCTTCAATCTGAATCATGTTCGAAGCGCGGCTTGCTCAGGGTTCAATTTTTGCTAAAGTCATCGAAGGTTTACGTGAACTTGTAACAGAAGCGACATGGGAATGTAGTGGAAATGGCATTACGCTTCAAGCAATGGACAGTTCACACGTGGCTTTAGTTTCGTTAGTACTAAGAAGTGATGGTTTCGAAACGTATCGTTGCGATCGTAATATGAGTCTTGGAATTAGTTTAACAAGGTAAGTTTTGTTTTTAGTTTCATATAGGAAGTTGACGTTTTCTTGTTCATTTTAGTATGTCAAAAGTATTGAAAATGATGGGCAAAGATGATACTTTAACCATACGTGTAAACGATGACTCAGATGCTATTGTTCTTTCCATGGAATCGCAAAGTAAGTTTGCTTTGAAGAACGGTGCTTTTATATGTTTGTCATATACTGTTTCTTGTATATAGATCAAGAAGAATTTGCTGAATATGAATTACGTTTAATGGATCTTGATAGTGAACATTTGGGTATACCAGATACAGATTATAGTTGTGTGGTTAAAATGCCAAGTACAAAATTTTCACGTATATGTCGTGATATGGCTATACTTGGTGATAGTGTGACGATATGTTCAACAAAAGATGGTGTCAAATTTGGAGCGAAAGGCGATGTTGGACAAGGTATGATAATTATTCTTACATCAAATAAGATGATTAAAAGTAATCTCTTTATTTAGGTAGTATACGCTTGAATCAATCAACAAATGTTGACAAAGAAGAAGATGCTGTTAGCATTGAATTGCGAGAAGCTGTTGCTTTGACATTTGCCGTTCGTTATTTGAATATGTTTTGTAAAGCAGCACCATTATCAAATCAAGTCAATTTGAGTATGTCAGAAGATACTCCACTTAGTAAGTTAAAATAACAACGCCTTCTAGTATAATTACATGTTTTATTTTTCCCCCGTCTTTTGTTTTTAGTGTGTGAATTTAAAGTTGGTGATATGGGTCATATTCGATTTTATTTAGCACCAAAAATTGAAGATGCAGAAAATTAAACATCTCAAGAAACAAACTCTCGTTCAGCTGCTGTCAGATTCTATTGTAAAGAAAACAAAATTTTTTGTCGTTTTTTCTCTTATTTTTTCTATAATGTCTTAAAAGTTCCTAATAAATCGGATATATTTGTAATCATTTGTTTAACGAATATACTTGGCGAAAGTTTACTCTGAAGGAACCTTTATTAGAGCATGTGTGCTTCGCAAATTAGGAGTTCATTAACGAAGAGGAGAACAGACTCAAAACTTTTAAATTATTACAACATGTTTTTTGTTTTAATTTTTTCCTTTTAGATTATTTCCTCCATGGCAGAGAATGTGAGCTGATTTTCTTGATATTTTTGTTATCAATTCTAAGGTAGACTTTTTTAGTCATCTAACGAAACAAAACCCATCAAAGTGAACAAATGGGAAGGTACTGCGTTGAAAAATGCACTTGATGATGCTTGTAAAAAAGTACGTATTTATTTATTTTTAAGCCGATTCGGAAATGAATATCATTTCAACGATACTCATGCTCTAGAATTTTTCAGATGTACTCGGTTATTTGCTTGAATACTATTACTTCTGACTAAAATACCAGTTTTGTTTCTTTTTTTCTCCAACATGTATGTGTAACTCTGTCAGTATCGAAGTATTTTTTTCTTACTTGTAAAGAACAAATGCTCATCTATCTCTTTGTAGGGAAGAGAATTGAAGTAAAAGATATTGCAATAGAATTCCTGGCATCTAACTCTCAACATTTTTTATTTATTTACTTTATCTTCTAGTATTTCAAAGATGATCTGAATTATGTTGAAGATTATAAGTTGGTTGATGGCCGTTTATCTATATCATTTATTGCTGTTCTATTTTCTGCTTTTGCGTTACTTTATGATTGGCTTTATCCATTTCCGAAATCAAGATCTATACTTATTGTTTGTGCTCTAGCGTATCCTTTTCATTTTTGAATACTAAAGTAGCAAGCAGCAGATATCAGAATGTTTATTATATTTGTTTTCATCTATTTATCTTAACTTCTGTTTAGCTATTTTATATTGATTGGTATTTTAACGTTATACATGCAATTTGTAGAGTGTGGAAAATTTTTTGTTGGAAAATTAATTGAGAGAGCTGGGATTGATCGTGCATCACGTTGTACATTAAGTTCAAAATTGAAAAAGTAAGTCCATTTTAATAATAAAGTTTAAGAATAGATTTGTGAACAATTGTCACATACCAAAGAATTGACATTTTATCTGACTTCTACAGACTGAGAGCGTTTCTACTAATGCCTAAAGCTGAAAGTCTGATAAGAGAGATTTCTAACAACAATTTTTGGGTTTCTTGAATTTAATGGGGTATTAGTTATATTGAGAGCTGCTCGAGAGTATCTCTTATGAGACGTATTTGCAACTCAGATGCTTGAATTTTTCGACAAGCGATTTTATCATTTTGTTTGCAGATACGATGATAATTATCAATTAACCATCAACTATTTCGATGGATTAGCAAATGTGTCTCACTCAAAAACGTTAGCCAAATCTGTTGGAAAATATTTTGATGAAAATGGTGTACTTTGTTATGACAAATTTTGTACGGATTTGAAAAAGCTTCATGATGACAAGCAAGATACTACAGGATTACAAGCAAGAAAAAGACAGTAACTGTTTTATTCGAATGATTTATAATCAAAAACTGTTCTTATGAGTTAGATTTTATTTCTTGAAGGGTAATGAAAACAATAAATAAAGATTGCAATATAAGTTAATAAAAAGACCCGTTGTTGTTATTGTTGTTTTTGTTTACTATTTTTGTGCTTCTTTTGCACGGCTATCTCTATCTTTTTTGTTTGTCTTTTTAAGAAAAATCTGTCTTGTTTGAAGAGAATAAACGATAATAGTCGGTTAGAAGCAATACTTAAAGCTCTATAGGTATAAATTTCAACACGATCCGACATCGGCTTTCCCGGTTTCCAAGAGGATCAAAAAAGAGGGGGGAGTTACCCTTAAGCGTAAAACCAAGTTATACCGCTTGTATATTTGAAATTACTAATTATGTAAAGGAATTATGCTTTAGGTGGATAATGCGTGTGATACAACTTTTTGCGGATTCAGTAAGATGTAGAATGTTTTCAGTTCTACTTGGTAATTCGCGATTTGTTTTGAAAAACACTGAGAGCAGTTATTGAGTCTTAGGCTCTTCCAAATGAATCGAATTTTGAATAGACTATATTGTATCTGAAAATATTTCATTTATTATTGTATAAGGATAAACAAAAAAGTTGTAAAATTCATCTTGTTTCGAGAGACTTTTGGTACAATAGAATTTTGCTTTGGCTGTAACTGATATTAAAACTGCTTATGAAATTGACGATAGCGAAGAACTTAGCATGGAAAAAACTTCGACATCGCTATTAACCAAATCTAATACTGAAAGATTGATAACAATACCAGATGTCATTTAAAAATGCACTTGATCCAATTACAAATGAAATAATACATAGAACGAGACATCATTGAAATTCAAGTTGATTGCCACCATTTTTCACGTTCTTGAATATGTCTTTATAAAATATTGGGAAGTGGAAAGAATGCAATACCCACAAAAGTATCCGTAAAAACGTCAGACGGGCGGTTTATCGAAAATAATAGATTAGTGATTAATAGATAATAATTTATCAACAAAATGACAAGATGAGGAGGCAGAATTCTTCTGCAATTGAGCAAAGAAACTCGAACATGCTTTTTAAAATGCAACAGGCAACAACAATGTGATTTGTAAATCTTCTAGGGGTTAAATATGTGGGAGGTGAGTGAACAGCTGCACCACTCCCAAGTACTAATAAAACAAAGCAGAGCTAAAAGTAAGTTAGACATGTTCTACTCATCAACCTTACTTATCTAACTTCACTGCACAGATCTCAAGAATGTTTATAATTTCCAGGTTAAATTTATTTTATTCATGCTCTTGTCACAGGAGAAGCGAAAGTCGAGCATGACATCGTCTAGAATCTAGAAAGAGCATATGGGGACGTTTTTGTGTTGCCCTACTGCTCTTCAAAAAAAGGTGTATTTTATAAAATCCTAATAAAAAATTTAGTGAACAAAAAGGGTTTTCATATTTCTGTTACAAAACCCAGAAGGATTTTTGTTTACTAAACCTGAAAAGGTTCTGTCGAATGCCAGTTAAATCTGCTAAGGGTTTACTAACAAACACTTCAGGGTTTTCTAAAATATCCAAAGGGGTGTTGTGGATATTCCACAAAAAAATTTGAATTTACTAACAGAAATGAAAAATCTTTTTTTGTTGGTTAAACCCCTTGTTTAAGGTGTTTTAAAATATTCTTTTTTCCTCAGAGAATGTTTATATCATTTAAACTGAAGTTGTCAACAGTAAAATCCACAGTTCGAAAATAATCTGCTAAAATTGGGAAAAGTCAGAAGAAAAAGGTACTGAAAATTGGAAGAGCCATTTTTTTCCAGAATAATCTTAAAGATAACAGCCTTTTTTCAAGAGCTCTTTTTTTCAACAGAAAATATACATTTAACAACAGCTCCAGGAACACAATATTTCAAGCGTTGACTTTTATGATTTTGAACTGTTCATATCTGGGAAACACTTAAATAGTGAACTGTAAAACAAATCCAAACAAAAACATACTACATCTTATGAAAACGTGAATTGCTTGCTTGATGTGTATATTTTTGTTGATTGTGTACGGCTAAAACGTGTAACTGTCACCCTCAGCTGCGGTGGGTTGGGCGACATTTTTTCTCTCAACCAGCCTTAAAAGCACATCATTAGACGCAGTTTTTTGCGCTGATTACGAATATCAACTTTAAAAAGAACGAAACTCAAACTTTTAAATCGAAAATTCAAATTTAAAATTTAGAAGCTTTTTTATTTCAATTTTCTGACCTACTTAGTTTTTTAAAAAGTTTCAGAAAGTATATCAGTGGATAAAGAATTAAAGTCTCTACAAAATGCAATATTGACTTTGTCGAAACAATCTTAAAAAACGCATTTTGCACATTAAACAAGTTTTTGCTGGTTTTTGTTGATCTTTTGCCGAATTCGAAATGGTACTTTTTTGGAGCAATTCTACGAAAATCAAAAACATTTCTCGCATCGTTCTGTTTTGCTTAGTTTGATAGAGGGCACTCGATTGCATAAGGCTCCGTGCAGATCAAGTTTATAGAAGTCTTTTTTACCGGTAGAAATATAACGATAAAACCCACCGCAAAAGAAAGCAAAAAAATGATGTAATTCCGTCACGAAGCCATTTCGCTTTTTATTTTCATTTAAGCATTTTTGAGTGAAAGTAAAGAGATGATTCGAAACTCTTTTCATGCTCTACAACTTTTATATTAGACTTTTTTTCTGAATGTGTTTCGTTTAGAGCATTTTTCAAAGTTCGTAGAGCAGTAGAAAAAAAACGCTAAAAAATGTAATTCCGCCACTACACCTATTTTGCTCATAAAAATCGTTCTGCTTAACCGACGCATTCGAAATGTTTACCACAAACCAAGCATTTTATCGCACATCTCTGATAAAAATTTCGTCATCTTTTGTTCAGTATTTGAGAAGAAACAGAGCCCAAAAGTTGAAAAAATGTAATTCCGTCACGCGCGTTTAAGCCATGTACTGCTTTTAATAGATCTAGCTCAGATAGAATTAAATTATAAAACTGTTTACAACCAATACCAGTACTATTCAATCTTTTTTTCAGCTCAGCTGAAATAAGCTCTGGTGCCATTTTGTTTGGTGTGTATGTTCACGCTTGTTTCATATGACTGAAAACCAAGGTTGATAGTCAGGTGAACTTTTTCACAAATGTGTATTTTTCAGAAACAGTAAAAATGTTAGAAATCGAAAAGTCAGAATTCATTTGGAAAAGAAGTTCAAAACCGGAAAAAATTCCAAATCAGAAGAGTTGGCAACCGTGAAGAAATGATATACAAAGAGAAAGTGGTATGTAGAGCAAAACCATTTTACTAAGTCAAAAAACCAGATACTTTGTTTTGTCGTGTTATGTAGAGAAGATTGCTTTTATTAATCTGACAAGAAAGTATTAAATAAATGATGAAATGTAAAAATAATTGAGTAACTAATGAGTATAGACATCATAAAACCTTCCTGATAAGATTTTCCTAAACGATTTCGATATACACATCGGTATGCTGTGGTTCCCTTCAATAACAGACAATTCGCGCAGCGCCAAATGCTAAATAGTGATGATGGTAACCGTAAGAGAAGATTCTACTTAATCGTTTATCTAAACTATGGCCAGTGTTCGTAAACTTGGACGACGTTATCAACGTTATATAACTGCGAGAAATGCACTAGAACAAAAAGAAGATGATCCAAAAGATATTTGGGACAGAATTATTCGATTGTCTGATGTTACCATAGCAAGTAGATTACATTCATCTACTCAAACGTTGCGTGTACTAATATTTGAGATTTTTAGTGGCCATTGATTCAGCTGGAAATGACATATTTCCTCTACACGGACTCAATAATGCAATGAGAACTGATTTAAATACGCATTGTCGTGACTATATTGAAATGGCTATTGGTGGGTATCGAAAATGTCTTTTAACTGGAATGAAAGTAAAACTCTTCTATCAAATTTGAAAAATGTTTTATTTTTTCTAGATTTTGCTCAGAATATCGATCCAACAGATATAATTAAACTCTTACGAATTCGCAGTCAAGATCGTGAAGCAATCATTACGATAGATGAAGGAACGATATTCATTTTTATTCAAATGTTTCCAAAGGAAGATAATGCAACAAGTCCGGCATTCACCTTGGATTTATAACTCATTTTTCTATTGCTATAATATGAGATTCTTTTTTTGCATTTCTTGTTAACGAAATAGAAGCGTGATGAATTAAATCGGAAAACCGTACATCTAGTTAAACTTATGGAACAATTTTATAGTTTAATCTCTCAAAATTTCTGTACTGCCAAGAGTTGGAAACTGTGAGATTTGAGCTGCCATTGAGTTAAAATGTTAAATAAGTCGTCACTTCAACGATCTCGAATAGTTTAAGTTTATTTGAAAGTAGTGAAATGGCATTAAAATTTGAAATAGACTCACCCTCACATTTTAAAATTTTATCTCAAGAATTAGCTCCCACTAATGAGCAAATGAGCTAAATTAAACTAATCCCATCCGATCCAGATCCATACTTTGAGTTTTGATCTTTCTTACGAAGACTTCATTCTCCGCATGATCATTATACCTTTCATTTGGCGCCATTATGTGATATTTTTCGAAATAGTTGATCTTGTTAAAAAAACGACTGTTGTACTCTTTGAAAAGTCAGAATTGAAACAGCATCAGTTAAAATATACAAAACCTCAGATGAATCTGATTTACCTAAAATAAATAGCAAAACGAAATCTTCATCAATTCATACAAATGACTAACAAATGTTTGATCACTTATATTGGAATTTGTTTATTATGCACGTATTCTGAATATTATTGGATAAAAAATGGTTATTATTCATTAGCTTTAGTCGCTAGTAAATGTCCAAAACCGATAATCGAATCACATCCGAAGTATATTAATAGTAGAGCAAATCATGCAACAACAAGCGATTCGTTATGGATATGGTTTAGCAGTATGTTTGCAGCAAATAACGAAAAACCTGTTTCGATAGTGTGCGAAACATTTGAAATTCATGCTAATCCACGTACGGCATTTATTCTCATCAAGACAGTGTGTCTCGTTGGTTTAACACTAAAATTGGTATCAAGCCTGAAAGCTCTACCGACATTAACTCGTACATATAGTAAGCAAAAACGAACAATAGATTTAGGACATCGTAGTAAATTACTGAACAGTTCTGATTAAAGTAAACTGTAATCGACACTTTTAAACTCAAAACGTTAACCAAAATTCAGATTATTTGCATTTCTGGCAAAACCCAAGCTCAAGGGAATTCATTTCCTTTCTCATCAATTTTATAAATGTGACATATTTCAATCGCGAAACAACATCAATTTAACTAACACTAATACAATATTTTCTATTTCAATCTTAAAGTATTTAAAAACATTTCACTATAGTTTCTGTCCTTTGTCTAAGTGAAATGTTTTTGCTCTGTACACGCTTTTCTCTTTCTATAAAATGTTTTTTTGGCATGTAATGTGGAACTTTAGTTCAAATGAGCAATATAAACAGTAGGTCAACACAAAAACGTCCCCATATGCTCTTTCTAGATTCTACATGATGTTATGCACGACTTTTGCTTCTCCTGTGACAAGAGCACGAATAAAATCAATAGGAGGGAGACAGTGTCTGCAAGAAAATGACCCTATATATTTTTGAGAAGAAAACGACTGGAACTGATCAGGAACCGTTTATTATTTAGTTTTTAATATTTCTGTGCCTTAAAAGTTGATTGTAGACTACCATATGCTGAAATTTTTAATCATTTCTGAGCATCGGTCCAAAAATCCTATTCGACCGTATTTATGCATTTTTCTCTGCAAGCATGATGTTCTTAATAGAATCTTATAACATGCGCAATTAAACGAGCTTTAAAATGATCTATAGTACAAATCAATGTCTTCATAGACATTGAGACTGGTCAAACATTATCTATGGCTATTTTCTTCTCGTATAAGTAACCCTCATTGAATATAATAAAATGGATATAGGTTTGTCAGTACACTCAGACCCGGGATGGTTTATACGTTGAAAAATGTAGAATTGAAAGGGCTACACAATGAGCTATAACACATTGTTTTAAAAGTTTGTCTTTAAAAGATGTATTGGACAAATACTTGACAAGTATCTCGATTTTACCCATAGTAGCAGATAAAAATGATTATAGTTTCTTCCGCAGATAGAGATTAGAAACAGAAAGAGAATAGGCTGATGTAGAATTGAAAGGGCTACAAAATGAGCTGTAACACATTGTTTCAAACCCTAAGTTTGTTGGACTTATGGACAAGATGGTGAGTGAATGCAGTGATTTTGAACTATTGTAGAATAGTTAGTGAAGTATCGTGCTGTAAACAAAATCAGACCAAGAATGGCTATTTTATAAACAAATGCAGAATTTAACGAGCTTCAAATTGAAATATATTAAAGAAAATCTGCTACAAAGTCTATTGTTTGCTTTTCCTCCTCAAACAGCCATGATCTTTTTTAACACATACAAATGGTTAATTTGTGATTAATGAGAAAATGTAATTTATATTATTTAGATTTTCGATAGTTTACAGACTTTAAACGAGCTTATTTTAATTTTTTTACCTTTTTCTGAGACTTTGTGTGAATTTTGATAAGCCTCGAAAAACGAAAAACGAATGTCCTAGAGGAGGCTGTCAAATAACCTTGAACAAAATTTAAACACTGTTTGAATAAATTCATAAATTGCAAGACACTTCAATGAAATCGTAATCAACTGTATCTTCTCTTAGAATTAATAAGGTCTTGCTCATTTCACTGCATAGCCGCATTAAGAGCATTTTTTCTTTAAATTCCAATAATGAAGTTGAGTGCAATGAATTAGGAGATTGAATGAATAATTAGTATATATAAAAGTATACTACTTACATATACAAAAAAACAAAATCAGAATGTGTTTTCACAAAAAACAGCGTTTTAAATTGCACTACACAACGTAGAAACATAGTAACAGATCTATTCGTACAAAAGACAAATGCGTTCATATTCTGTGTTAAAGAAAACAAAAACAGAGTGAAAATGGTGTAAAAAAGCTTTTAGAATGGCTCGATTTTAATCACAGGCAAAAATGGATATCTTTTTTAACCGATATGAACAAAAAAACGGCTTATCAACATAAACCGCCATCTATGAAGTTGGACAAAAAAATATTTTTCAAGAATTTTCATCTGTTGTTTTAACCAATCGCCTTGGTCCACGGGAACCTGCTCCAGGTAGTTTGGGTTTCGCAAATTGTGATTTTGACGATACTTGATGTTCCACTGGGTGTAATAGTTCAAGAAGATGCTCGCTTGTCAATTCAGTGGGCTCAGTTATCTCAATCTGAAAATAAGAATAGTATTTAATACAATCAGCGAGATGAAAGTAGGACATACCTTTTTATCAAACATAACACCAAATTTCTTTTCAATATGATCAATTACGCTCTCTTTACAACTTGCGTAAACCATTCGCTGTTTAATGGCAGAATTATAGCCTGGAACCGAATAAATTGATACTAAAAATAAGGATAATTAACTGAAATTATCAGGCACAAAACAAGAATATAGAGCAAACAACAGATCTAGCAAGACGATTTTTCGACATGAGAGAGTCCAATTGTTTAAGTCTTCTTTTATTTGATATATTTTGTAAATTTTTAGTTTTCAAAACAAAAGGTTTAACAGTTTTACTTACGAACTTTTTCACAAGGAATGTGATTAAATTCATGGATAAATCGATAAACGTGATATCGGCCTTCATTATTTGGTATACATTTTTGAATTTTTTCCGGTGTTACATGTGCTTCTGAATGTGATAATAATATTCGCTCTTTTTCATGATCAATTTCCTAGAGAAAAGAGATACAACATATAGAAAAATTGGGAGTATTGCTAAAGCAGTCCGTGAATGTACGCATATGGATCTGTTTTAACAAAAGAAATTTATTGCAACGGACAACTGTTTACCAAAAGAAACACAAGCATAACGCTCTAATATTTTTTTAAATAACATTAACAAAGCTGAATAATTCTATTTTTTGAATCTTTTATTTATGAGATAATCAATGAACTGCGTAAGATATATAGACACACCAGTTGGATATAATTGACTGAATGCTTCTTAAATAAATGGAGTGCTTCAATAACATTTTCATCAAATGGAAAAAATAGACCTTGTAATGTTGGATGTCTTGAATCAACACTAATATCAGCTGTAGCCTATAGTAAAATAACGTTATTTTAATAGTGTTTAACAAATTGTTATGTTTTTTGCTTACTTCTCGACTTTGAATCTCGAGTATTTCTTCTTCTCTCATTGTTCGTGGAGGTGGAGCTGCTTGTGTTTGAATATGTTTATTGTACGCATTTAGTGTCATTTCATCCTGAAATAACCAAATGGCTTTTATTAGTCTAAATAAATATTAATTGAAATACATACTAGTGATGCTGCTCTAAATTCACGCGTTATATGACCAAGACCAAATTCTCTTTTTAGTGTAGCAAGCGAAGAGGCATAAAGCATTCTGTCTCGAACCTATAAAAAATAAAAATAAATCATTAGTTACTGTCACAATATGTTTTTAATTGTACATGCTTTAGCATCTTCTGGAATCCATGTAATCAATAACCAATTGGAACCACCTATTTCACTTGTTATATCAAGACGAATAAAATAATAGCAAGATTGATTAGGTTGAACTAATGAATTGAGTAATCGATCAAAATCTATATATAATTAAATAAAAGTATATCAAACAACACAATTTTTAATTTCCTACCTTGATTAAAGGAGCCTTCTATCTGTCGTTGGTCTTTGGCTACAAGTGATTCTAATAAAAAGAAAATCTGTCTTGTATATTACAAACTTCATTCTAGTTGTTTTTTTACCTTGTTCAATCACCACAGTTAATAGACGTGTATGAGAATTGTTGTCTTTGATTTCAGCGAATTTTTCACGCAACGTATCTGATGCTGTAAACGAAGGAAAACAATAAATCTTTAAAACTAACTATCAATCGAATCATTTTAATTACTAACCTGTAATACCAGATTGATGAGACATGTTATTGCCGAGATTAATTATGAGTGTCTAAAGATACTAAAATATCTGAAATAAGTAGAAAAATATTTCTGAACACAAAAGTAGGTCAAATTCAAAGCATAGATTTTACACGTATGATTATTCATCCTTCTGGAAGATCGTCTCGTCACCGTAAATAGTACGATGATCTACAGTGAAATTGGAAGAGCAAAAGTAACCTAATATACCTAGCCATCATGTAGAAAAAATCAAAATACTTTATTAAGAACATTGTCACCGACAAATCACACAAATAAGCAGCGCAAAAATAAGAGTTTGAACATGGCGGGTTCATTTCATCAATATTCTTTAGTTCATAAATTTAAGCACAAATGTAAGTCAACGTTTAGTTTGTTTTCGTGTGTCGTTTTACAGCATTGACTTGAAAGCAATTCTGCAGATATCTTAAACTCATTTTTCATAGAATAAAGAGATACTAAATCCTCAAATTGCCAACTGAAGCTCACACATATCCCAGGAACCAGATGAACATCGTGGAGATGAAATAAGAGGGTTAAGAGTCAACGCACGGTAGAGACAGCCGTTTCTCACATACGTTGTTCAATCAATACCTGAGTTTTTTGTTCCTATTTGCACAGTAGGTAGCACGGACACACTTAGGAAGATTCCCAAAAGTTTTTGATCGGAACTTACTTCCGTTTTATGAAATTTTTCGTAAAAGCTCTACAAACAGACCGAAACGATAACTACGTAAAAGTGAAATTTCTTTTGTTTATATCTTCAAGAGACCACATTTGGAGCACAAGTAGTCGAGGTCGCGTACTATCTATAGTCAAGAGTGTGTGTAAAAATAACTGTCGCACATGTGCGAACATATACGCACAACAAGAAAGAATTTACTAGCGCGAAAACTTTCACATAATTTTTTTTAACCCGATAAATATGTTATTGCATTTAATATCACTTATATCTGTTGTATAAGTGTACCTCTGCTATAAACTATAAATTCACTTCATACAAGTTCCTTGGTTGTTGCACGGATGAGTCCAAAAGCGGGTAGAATATGAAAAATGGCCTATTTGAAGATCGATTTTCTCGCCCGATACCTGTGGAAATTTTGGCGCTCATATGCCAATGTTCGGTACTCATGTCAGGCTATCAAACTATGCTTTCGAATTTATGGCATATTCAACTTCAATTTCGCTGGTTTATTACAATAGATTTTGCTAGGAACCTACTCGATCTCGACTACTTGTGCTCCACATGTGGTTTCTTGATCGACTTCCTAGATCAAGATATAAATAAACGAAATTTCACTTTTACATAGTCATCGTTTCGGTCTGTTTGCAGAGCTTCTACGAAAATTCCATAACTTCTGAAGTAAGTTCTAATCAAAAACTTTTGGGAATCTTCCTAACTGTGTCAGTGCTACCTACTGTGCAAATAGGAACAAAAAACTCACACATTGATTGAACGACTTCGGTCGTCCCTAACGTGCAATGGCTCTTAAGAATATTAACGAAACGATCCTCTGAAACAGAATACTCAAAAGAAAAAGTATATCAAAACTGAACAACAGCAAAACAATACTTTAATACTTTTGAAATTCCGCTATACGATAAAGAATGTTTTCTCTTCAAGCTTTCTTTCCGACACAAGACTCTCCGAAACTTATCGCTCATCGAATTTTTGGCACCTCTGCGGCAGTTATGCTTTGACGAATAAAATCAAACCATGGTATCAACAAATCATTGTTTTGATACACATTTAAGAGCAGGCTGTTAACTAAAATTTGATTGGATAGAAAATCAATCCAATTACGCAGGCTACTTTCCTTGAACTTTAAAAAAATACAACAATTATTTTGATTGATGTTGAGTACTACAATTTGAAATTGATCTAGGGGCTTCTAATTTTGTTTGATCATTGTTCTCACCGAATGCTGATCACCCACTAAGTTTAGGCCTCTTTTCCTGGATGGTTCGTGAGATATAAGCATTTCATCTCTTTTCCGTAAAATGCTAATAACGAACGTCTGATCTATTTTTTATAAAGTTTCAACTACTGTTTTTTCCCCTATAGATTTCTGTAATTATATTTTTACATAATTCTGATGCATACAAATCACACAAGCTATATATGGTAGAATCGGTGACCCTTATTTCTTCAAGTTCATCTCCCTGTGTATGTTACATTAGCGTCTGCTCATTCGAAACGGATTTTCGGAACCGTATAATGGTTAACCTTCATACTTTGGCTGAAGAGTCTATAGATACTGCACAGTATGTGGTGCAATTTTGAAGTCAAAATGATGGTCCTAGAATGAATTATGAATTTTTTTTGGAAAGGATCTCATATCTCAGGACTTCATTTTCAGGGATCTCGATCGTAAAATAGCTGTCTTTCAGTAACCATTAACAGCTAATTCATATGGTAGATAGAGGAGAATCAGGATTACATTTTGGTAAAAAGAAAAAAGTGTTTACTATCTTGGCTCAAGAGTCATTAGCATTGTACAGAAAAGAAATGAAATGCTTATATCTTACGAACCATCCAGAAAAAGTGGCCTAAACTTAGTGGGTAATCAGCATCCAGTGAGGACAATGATCATACAAAATTAGAAGTCCCTAGTTATTATCAATGGTTTTAATGATTAGTGGGTCTCGCTTGAACAATATGGGTTTCCACTTTGAAAATTCGATTTCTGTTTTTAGCAGGGAAAACATGGAAAATGCAGTGGTAAACTGTGGAAATCCACTTTGCTTAAAATTCCTATTAAAAACACTGGTTATTTGGATTCTTGAGTTACAGGGGGGGAGGAGCTACTTTTGCGGACCACTGTATAATACTATAATAGATGTATTTCTGCTTGTAATTATTCTGAAAGAAAAACCTCAAGTTAAATAAGAACGTTTTACTGTATAATTTCGTCTCTGTAATTTTTAGTCTCAGTTTTTTCTGAACTTAGATTAAAAATACTTTCAGTAAAAAGATATACTAGTGAGAACTATTTTATGATTCTAGCTGTTTCTGAGAACGGTCTGCGGCTGGCGCATAGCACAAAATATAATAGATTATAATTGTTAGCAAATTTCAAATTAATCAATCAATTATTTTAACACGATTATGTCTAGGCTGTTACAAAAAAGAGAAAACTTGAATGAATGTAACATCTATTTACAGAAAAAGATACCGTTGAAAGCTACATGTTCAAATATAGTCTAAGATGTCACCCAAATGCTTTTGTGGCAAACTGGGATATCGCAGATCGTGGAAAGAGATTCTACTCAGTACATGTACGGAAAAGAAGAAGAGTGTTTCTTTGCTTCTAAACTTGTTTGGGAATAGTTCACTGGCACTGAATTCAGTCTGTCCGACGTCCTGCTAGTTAAAGGAGTGATCATGTTAAATCTTGAGAGAGCGCTTTTCCCGATCGTAAAATGTGAAGACGGACAGAAGATGATGCGGTGTTAAATGTACGGTACCTTGCGCCTAACATCTGTCTACACTTTTTAGCTACACGAGAAATGTGATATTTCTATGCTGGATTGTGCGATAAAAAATCTTCTAACAACTTATTATTATTTCTCTTAACCTTTCGGAGCCTATCCTGATAAAAAAAGCGAATTTCCTAGAGTTGAACCGGATGCAGTTGTTGAGAAGGGCATAAAAACGCACTTATCGATTTTTCATTTTACTAGCGTTTTGTCATGCTAGTCAGACATCACATTACTGCAGATGTTGAACTGGATCTTTTATTGTTAACAAAAACAATTTGTTGACAAAACATTCATCCAATTTGCGATAATAGACAAAAAGCAGTAAAAAATTTTCTTATCTATATACATTTTCACACTTCAACATTTTAGCGTTTATAAAGTTTTTTTAATCTACTTCGAATTATAAGTTCATTTTCATCTTTTATTTTTTGAAAACAGTTTCTGCAAAGAAATCAACTGGTCTAAAGCCAGATCTTTCTCTTATTCATTATGTTAAAATCTGTTGTTGTTTTTCTAACAATTTTAGCGAATTATTAAGACAGTGTCCTTTTAGTATTTTCAGATACATTTCCATGGGCTCGATTGATATTCGACTTAATCGACACGCAAAGACATATTGTGAAAATGTGAGTAATGATTATTAGATGTTTCTTTGTACATGGCAAATAAGAAAGAAACAATTAATTTGAATGTTAGTCGGTAAATTGATGGGAAAAGGGCTCTTATTTTGCACACTTTTGTCGCGTTGAAAAGTGCAGGTAATTGCTCAAACACTGTTTACATTAAAAAAAGAATGCCAACGCTATTCGCAACGGTTTAGAATATTTTTGTTGAAAATCTGTTTTTTCTTCATATAACCGGCTTTGAAACATTTCTAAATGTGGATTCATATCCAGGTTGAACACTCTGACAGTTGCATCTTACCAAACCTGTTGGATTCATCTTGGGCTTCAACAAGGATATAATTCGGCTAGATTTGATTCGATTTTGTGAATCTATTTCCAGAAATTCGATTGACAGACCTTGTTGCACTCACTCAGATTCGACACTCGAAATTAATCGGATTAGTTAGAAAGATTTTGAAGCATTTCTGTCAGGTACCGTCGGACATATCTGACATGATCAGTTGTCTTGATTGAATCTTGTGCCATCAAGAAAATTCGATAGTTCAACCAGAGAATAGTGTGTGACATTTTTGTTGTAACGTACATCGTTGGTGTTCATGGTGCGTGTTATTGCATTTAAATTTGATTTATAACAAAAAACTGATGCTTCTTTCCATGCGTGTTTTTATCCTTGGATAACATTTAATCACGTACTAAGACAATCTTTATTATCATAAAATGTTCAAGTATTTTTATTTAACGAAAGACTGACTTCTTTCATACAATTTTTCAGAAAATGGCTCTCTTAAATATTTGTTTATAACAACCTATTATTACTAACTTCATTTCCTCAATTGTTATCTGGTTACTTCTTAATTTAAATGACAAATATTAGCAAAGAGTTAATTTTTTGTTGTTATTTAGTTATATAATCTTGAGTTTACTAGTCATGCATTGTTGTGATTATTTTTTCAAATAGTATTGTTTTTCTACAAATAGCAAAACACTCCTTACTTTTGTATGCTTCTCTTTTTTCTTGAACATTAAATGATTGCATACAGCAGAGAACTATTTTGTTATGAAAACAGTGGTTAGTTATAATTACACGAAGATTATTTGACTTTTTCTTTATAGGACATAATATCTGGAGCAGTTATTATCAATTCGCCTACGACATTTAAACACAATGGTTAGTTTGTAAAATCTTCTAGTTTCTCAGGTTTAATTCAACTTTTTCCTCAAATTTAGGAATTAATTTAACAATGGATGGATCCGTACAGCTTCATTTAAGCGGAAAAAATGTGGGTGTATTTGAAGCGCTCTATAACTCAACTAAGGTAAGAAATTTGTTTACAATTGAACTATCTAGAGCAATTAGAAAAGACGAGAATTGAAGTACTCCTAATTCAATGATAAACTAGATTTGATCATTAATTATAAACAATAGATATTTGTTTTTGTCTTAGCCTGTTAGTCTTACAAACTATGCTGTTGAATTATGTAAACCTGGTCAAATAACCACAACAAAAACTGAAATTCCATTTGAATTACCATTGAAAAGTAAATCCAATAAACCACTATATGAAACGTATCACGGTGTCTTTGTTAACATCCAAGTATCATGTTACTACTTATTTATTCCACTAAGTAATATTGTTTGTTTTTGTAGTATTTTATCCGAGTTGATGTAAAACGAACATTTTTATCGAAAGATATGATGAAACAAATTGAATTTAACGTAGAATACAAGGTAAAGAATTATTAGAAAAATATGATTAAAATCAAAAAAGTCTTTAATTTTATTTATAGTCTGATAGTGCATTGGCTGAGAAATCAACTTCAAAACCAGCTGCATTTGATATCACACCAGAATCATTACAAATTAAAAATGTAAGTTATTTTATTTCTCATCTTCTTGTTCTTGTTCTTTTTCTTCTTCACTATTCATATTTTCAATTTCTTTATTCAATAATTTTTGCCGTCTTTCATTTTGATCAATTTCTTTTTGTCGTCGTTTTTGTTCATTTTTAGCTTGTCCTATACTCTCATCATCTTGTTCTTGCTCTTTTTCGACTAATATTTTTTCTCGTAATTTATTTCCACTATTTTCAATTTTTTTATTCACTTTAATATGTTGTTTTTTACCGTTCTCTGACTCTGTATCATAATTTAATTTCATATTTTCCTCTTCAGAATTAATTGCATCACTCATTTTTCGTTCATATTCATCATTAACATCATCCGATGTTACTGTTTGTTCAGCAGCATTCGATTCTCCAACTAACCGTTGTTGTATAGCATTTTTACTAATAATTGGATTGGCATCATTATAATCGGAGTTTGCTAGTCGATGATTCTGAAAAAAAACATAAATGAACAAATGTGTGTGTCTGACTATGATATTACATGATAGAATAAAAATATTAGTCATTTTTATTCTGTTAAGAGGTGTCTGATGAGAGAGACTTTCATCTTTTATGTTTTACTGCTAAACTGATAATAAACAAACGAATTTCTGAAAAAAACATTTTATTTCAGAGAAAGTTATTTATCGTCCTCATCTACCGGTAGACGAGATAACGCTAAAATCCTTAATAGTTTGTAGAAATAAAGTGTCTTGAAGTGATATTTTAAAATCAATTCAAGTTCGGGAAAATGTGTTTTATTTCTTTTTCTACTTTTTAAGTTCGATAAATATTGTCAAAAAAATTGTTTATACCTTCATCGATCTTTTGGAATCTTTATGCTGGTCAGATACAAGATTTTGTTGTTCTACACTTTCTTCTTGTTTTGAACTTTTCTGTTCATCTTGTTGATCACTTTGTTCTCTTTCATTGTTGTCTTCTTTTTCTTCATCGACTGTTAAAACATACAGCTATTTGACATAATCAAATTCAATAGAAAGAAATGAATACTCACGTTCTTTTGTATTTTCTTCATAATGATGGTTTTTTCCATTATTATTGTCATATCGTTCGTGTTTATACGATAATTTTTTTGCTTTTTTATGTTTTTCACTGCTATCATTATCATCTTTTTCTCGTTTTTCGACAGATTTTTCTTCATTTTTTTCTTGTTTTGTGTCATCATCTTCGTCTGTCTGAGGTAAAATATCATCTTCATTGTTATTATTTGCTGTTTCATCCGAATAATCACGCCGAATACGTCGTACAGGAGACATTGTTGGTCTTTTTGTTTTATTTACAAATGGATATCGAATCTCGATATCTGCTCGTTGCTGAAACCAATCGTTCATGTTAGATTGTTTATTGTCTATGTAATCTTCGCTGCCAACATATATTTCAACTGGATCTAAAATGTCTCGTGTTTGGATAGTAGGTACTAATTTGTTAATGATACTGTTGTTTTTAACTTCATTATTGAGAACAAATTTAATCTGTGTTTGTCGTGGATAATTTTTATCATCAACTAAAGTAAGCCATTGACGTTTGAGTGATAATAAATGATTTTCTGAATGTTCATAGATATTTTCAAGCATTTTTTCGATATTTTTCCGTATACTCCCAGATAGACTATAAAGTGGAGAGTGGACGAATGCTGTTGATATTATTCTGCTATCCAATGCTAAATAATCGAATAAATTTGAGTAATAACTGAGATAGTGTCAGACTGGTGTAAATACATGGAACCGAATATAATTCTTTCCAGCTGGGAAGATATTTTTAACTTACCACTATTTAGTGACAAATTCGTTAGATTATTTGATGAAGTATCAATATGTCGTTTTATTCGTTGTATTTTTTCCCATTGTGTAAATAAATTATTTATTTGTGCTACATTGGGTTTTGACCGTGTTGGTGTTAATTCTAGTAATGTATTTTCATCATAGTCATCATCATTGGTTGTCTGATTCCATGAACTGAACGTTGCTCTCGGTTCCATAGCCATGATCATCATCATATTTGAATGTGGACGATGTTCCATTGGATAGGGATGTCGTGATTTTTGATGATGGCGGTGGTAATATTTGTCAGCAAATATATCGTGTACTTGTTTTGAAATATTTGTTAATCGATCACTATTGAAATTCTCCTTTGGAGAGGAATTATTACTTATCATATTGGCAAAGTTATCGATACGTTGAACGCTTGGCAAAAAAACATTGGAGACAAATTGATTGATTAAATTGAGTTTGAGTTCTGTTGATTTTCCTAGCGATGTTTTATCAAAATCACGATGAATATTATAGTGTAATGTTTTATGTAATGACTGACCAATGTCGACGGTCAATTTTAAACGAACTTTAACATCAGTTTTTCTATTATAATTGGGAACTTTAATATTGACAAAAGGCCAATATTTACTTCTGAGCGTTGTTGCTGTTGTTGTTGTAGTTGCAGGCGTTAAACTATGCAGCTGCCGATGGTGGTTTAACCATTGAAGAATTAAATCTGCATTAAGTTTTCGAAAAATGGTTGTAGATGTTTGGGCTTCTTGCATTGTGGAAGAACTGATAACTGTTGTGGTTGTTGTTGTTGGTGGTGGTGGGATTATACGAGAATTTAAGTGGGATTCACTTGACATTGTTACATAAGAATCTGATTGTCTAATGCTATTTAAAAATGTATCGAATGAATCGAGATCGTTAAAGATCAGCGGTGATGAACGGATTGAAGATGAGCTCGAAATAAGATTAAATATGATGTAAAGTAATGTTAATCCACAAAGTTTCATTGCTAGTTTAAATTGTATGACGAACAGATTTTGTTTTTGAACAATTTTCTTAATAACTTTATCTCTCGCTTGAACTCGTATTTTGGCGGCTAAAAAACTCGTTAGCCTATAACTCAGTGATCAAAACAATTTCCCCTAATGTTTCAGCTAGATGATTGCCATTGCAATAGAAGGAAAAAAACCAAACAATAGATTTGAGCCGATTGAGATCATTACTAAACTAAGTAGAATTGTGTTTACTGGAAAATTCGAATAATCTTACAATCGATGATTCAAAATAGAAGATGTTGTTTTGAAATGCCAATCCAGAGAAAATGATCTATATTTTAATCGATCGATGTTTTTTTTACTTTAGAACGTTAATGTACCCAATTTCAAGATTAAAGGAAATATTGATACCCTTTGTTGTCAACTAAGCAAACCGTTTTCTGGCGAAGTATGTTTTAGCAGATATCTCAATCTTATCTCATGTCTTCCTTTTCTAGCTTACTGTTGAACAAAGTGAACTGCCAATTAAATCTATTGAAATACAACTACTTCGAGTAGAAACATGTGGTGGGTAGTAAAATATTAGATAGTGTATATTTCAAATTTAACAAATACATTTTTTTTTCTCCGTTTTTAGGATGTGCAGAAGGTTATGCTAGAGATAGTAAGTGTATTTACTTTTACAATACTTTCTGCTGAAAACAAAGATTTTCCAATTAGCAACCGAAATTCAAAATATTCAAATTGGAGAAGGAGATGTATGCCGTAATGTTCCAATTCCACTATGGATGATTTTTCCGCGAATATTTACATGTCCAACACTCTTGACAACTAATTTTAAAATAGGTAATATAGACCTCATTAAAAATGAAGTCACCAGGATTTGTGTGTATATTTAGAATTTGAAACTAGTATTGTAATTGTATTTCAAGATGATCGGATGGTATCAGAAAGTAAGTTTTCTCTTCTTACTACGGATGAGCAGAAATCTATTATCAAAAATTAAATCAAAATCTACCCCGAGACGAACGTTTTCTGAAGTTCTTTTTTCGAGAAGACGAAATAGAAGTTATACAAGAAATATTTCTTTTTTAGACTTTCCACTCAAATTGACACGTTTTTAAATTAGTCCAGTACATTTTATTGCAATATATTTGGTAACAAATACGACTCAGATGCATTTATGATTTCGTTCTTGTGTATTTCTACATCGATTTTTATAATACTGTTCAAACTGATTGTCTTTCATTTTATTCACTTTTATTGTTCTTGCATTTGAAAACGCACAGCATTAGAATTGAACATAACCTTTCGACATAGAAATGTTATTGATAATGAAGAAAATATGTTCGACGCTCTTTTGCTGTACTCAATTCTTTTTACACTTATTATTTAAATTATTTTTTTGATTTTTCTTCATAAATGATATTAAAACAAATTATCAGATAGTAATAAATAATTGTATACAAACTATAAAATATTCAAGTTTTTCAAATAGTTATTTTAGAAATTATTTCGTAGTGACACAAATAATGGTTCCATATCTATCGGCTAAACTTTTCATGAACGCTGGCAAGTACCCAGTCATGTCATGATATGATATCACTTTCTGGTAGTAGATGAAGTGAAATTTTCCAGTACTATTCAATGTTTTGCATTCAGTTATAGTTCTTTACTGTACTTTTTGAAGCATAGACACCATCTCTAATGAAAATAAACTGAAATCCACATCGCATAAACTCCATCACGTTTAAATTTCAACAAACAGGATCAACCTGCCGAAATTATTGTTTCAAAGTATGCATTCTTTTTGAGAAAACAAACGTTACGATGGTGAAAATCTAACAGAAGAACAGAGAAAGTGTACTTCGTTTTCAACTTTCCAGGTTAACAGCGAAGAATTTTTGAACGATAAAACATTGAAAACTACTGAACATTGGGACTTCAATATTTCCTAACAGACAAGATTCTTTGCCTGCTTGAAAAGTAGTTTAGATTACATATCAAAGTAGTACTAATTACCCTTCAACATTATACACAACAAGTTTTCATTTTGAAAACGATTTGGAAGTAAATCTAGCCATATTCCGACATACAGAGTCGATTACTATGGCTTTGTTACCCTAAGTTCGATGCAGCTAACAGCATATTTAAATTCTTGTACAAAGAAATAATGACTTCTACGGCACTTCTCTACAGAAGTGCCATACCAAATCCAAACGTCCTAACCTAACGAAAAAGTCCTAAAAAATTATTTTCACAGCTAGTCGAGCGTGAGTCGCTTGAATCAGTGAAACTAACAAGAATTTGTTGCAAGCGTTGAATATGTTTTGCTCGATTAATGGTCTCAAACAGAAAACAGATTGATCGTCTACCGTCTTCAGATTTGTGCCATTGACCGAATACAAAACATTCCTGCTTGAAGTGGGTAAGATCGATCGAAGAATTATTCATCCATTAATTGATGACACTGTAAAGCACGGCAAAACTGGAAAGCCGTGAATTATAGTGCCATAAGTCAAAAAAGACGAAGTATGATCCTAAAATAATTCATCTTACCTTTGCATCTACCATACTTGGATATATTGTAAGGGGATCTTCACATCTAAACCTATTCGATCCTTAATGAGAACGTTTTGTATATCAATGAGTTTATATAGTGCGAGAATAGCAGCGCGATTAGTAAGTATAAAAATGAAAAAGAAGAAGGAACCAATCATAAAATTCTCTTTCAGTTCAATCTCTCGTCTTCGTAACACATGTGTTATTTATTCACACCTAAAAAATCGAACATTGGTTGACTATTTGTCGGATTGTATTAAAAAGCCAATAGAAATAAGAAAAAGAGAAAATTAATCTTCTATCGTATTAAAAGTCAATTCGTGTTAAAAGAGTGATCATATAATCAACATGACGTAATAAAATGCTCTAAAGAAAAAAATATAGAAATAAAAACGTGGAGCAAATTGTTTAATTGAATAAAAATCTTCAGCTGTGTTGAGCCAATTAGAATCGCTACTTTGATAAATTGACGATGTAACATTTGGTAATAGTTCGCACGATCACAGTTTAATGCATATTGGATCAATAAACAACGGTCATCCGTAAAAGAGGATCCGGGAAACTAAAGTGAATTCTTCTACAACATATTTTTTGATACAAAAATCAGAAGTGGTCCAGTAAATATTTTTTAAGTATAACATACGTTAAATGCATTTTGAATGCGGGCGTTTCACACAAAGGCGTTGCAGAATGAAGAACGATAGATCTTGTGGTCGTCGCCTCAAAGTATTAAAACTCCCCTTCAGTGCACATGATACTCTTTGATGGGTGGCCATCCCTCTACTATTCATAATAGTAGTATGTACTAAGTAATGACAATTCAATGCAGTAAGGATAATGATGAATTCACATGAATAATTTTGCGATAAATTTGAACTTTCTAGTATCTAAAACTAAAGTAAGATTTGAACTAATGCTCACTACCACGTTAATTATGAAACAGGTACAAAGGGTTCAGTTCTTAAATTATCAACAAAGTGACTGTTCTCTCGAAATTTTAACATTTATTTTCACCTTTTTTTTCTGGAAATGGATATTCTGTCACTGATTCTGAGCCGCACTGCATAGTAGACTACTTTAGAGGATGGACCATCGAGTGAAATACAATTGCATTTTAAGAGTGACCCGCACCGCGTTCCATTTTTAGGAACGCAGTGCAATAGAGGAATGAAGTGTAATGAGAGACCCATCTGTCAGAAGTAAACATCTTCAACGCGTTAGCATCACTTAGTGGTTAACAAGACTTGCAAGTTTTAAACCAAAGAAAAGAAAAACTAGAATAGTTACGCGTTGAGGATATTGACTGATTATTATATTTACGCTGAAAACATTCGAATTTTGAATGAACTATCGAGTTCAGAAAATGAAACCCATCAGTCGCATCAAATTTCAGGATTTGCAGTTAATTTTTTGAAAGTTTAAAAATGTACCCGATTATTCATGGCATCAAAAATGAGGCTACAAAACATATGGTATTCGGATCTCTGCTTATATACTATGCCTACTGCAAGCCGACATTTTCATTGAAACATCTATTTTGATTTTATTTATGCAGCTTTGAACACTACTTTATTGAATGAAGTAGGCACGGTCGAAGAACAGTTTTTGATTTAGTATAGTTCAAATATCCGAGTTGTCTTACACAAGTACTACCTATGTATCTTCCTATTAGGTAGATCATACAGCGAAACTGATAAAGAAACAATCACCTTTTACCGGTTTTTTTTCCGGGAGGATAAGCACCTAACCAGAATCTTGATAGGTCGATCGTCGAGTAGAAATGTAGCTATTACTCCGGTAAGAAAATGGCACTTCGAGGAAAAATCGAGTCCGTCGAAATGCCATTTGTGGAGGAGGGTTCGACGATACACTCGATTCATTTTTTTTCCTATGTATTGGTAGCGGTAGTTTAAGATTATAAAGAGTCGTTGAATAACTCATGTGTTATTTAGACGATTGCCTAGATTTATTTTTGAAGGTGGATGTTCATGAGAATTGACCTATCTTATTCATTGACGAGAGAAATTAGAAGGTGATCATGTATGTAACTGTTCACAAATTGATATATCTCTGTTGGATTGCAATAAGTGTAATATTTCGTTATTTTTCAAGAAATTTGTGAATGCGAACACAATTCAATTATACACGATAGTAAAGCACTTAACAATAACATCATGAATTGTATACGAATACGTTGGGAGAATCGAAGATCATCTATAATAACATCCACTTGTTTAGACAATATTCATAGAAGAAAAAAAACTACATTTTCAATGATATCTGTTTTTGTCATGTACACAATAATATTTGAAGATCAAACAGAAACAATTATATGCAACTTATCGATGGTCAGTAAAATCGGAACGAAATCTTCGAAATACAAATCGTTTCTAGAAAAAATGGAGTTCTCTTTCTTTAATATCAAGAGCAACGATAGAATTCTATAGACTGTTTTGCAAACTAGATAACTTCATAATTAAAATTTGAACTGATCAATTATATCTGTTGTCGTTTTGTTAAATAATCTCAGGGCTACTTACATGGCAGATAATTCAAACCAGAGCTGGGCAAGTCACGAGTCAAGTCACAAGTCATGACTTGAAAATTTTTTTTCCGTAGAAAACGGCATAAAAAAGTCTCCATTCCTTGATATTAGAACACAGACTTGCTATGCTATTGCAAAATGCGGGTCTTGTTACTGTGCGTAAATTCTTACATATTATAACATCAACATTCTCAAATCATTATGAATTATTATTTAAAAGTAGATTGCATAAGCGGTTTAAATATTTGCATGACTTGACTTGATTTTTTATGCCAAGTCACAAGTCAAGTCTTTTAAAAAAATTTTCAAGTCAGGTCAAGTCAAGGCATGAGTCATCAAAAATCTCCCAGGTCAAGTCATTCAAAAATGACTTGACTTAAATCATTTTTGACTTGACCAGCTCTGGTTGAAAGTTTATTGTGGGACAGACATATGCGCCTGTGGAATAAATGGAAAGTTGGGTTTTGTCGAAAAACAAGCCATGATTCAATAGAAAATAAAGCTGTTGCCACTGTTTTTCTATGTTATTAAGGTGCGATCAGTTAGAAGCATTCTTCTTTAGAAAATAACGTTCATCAATTATACTCACACAAGCTGTTATTTTTTTTCTAATACAATTTGTTTAACAAACAAATACAGCCGTTGATCTTTTTTTATTAAATAAACAGCTATAATTTATGACAAATTTTAGAAAATTGGATATAAGAAAAAGTAGCAAAAATAAAAATTGAAAATCGGTTGGTGTTTTGTGGCAGCTTCATTTTCATGTTTTTGTCATTCACTTATGTTGTTGTTTTAATGATAGATAAAAACTGAAAAACTGTTAAACCGACACCCAAGCTTATAGTAAGCGCTATATCGATTAGTTCTCAGAGTGATAGTCAAAAATTGAAAATGATGCTTAGATTTAAGCAGTTGTACCTCTTTAGTGTATATACGCGATGAATCTATCTAATTATCTTTAGTTTCGTTTTCCAATCCAATTCTCCAACCTATGACAGATCTAATTCAATTCTCTAACCTATAACATTCTGTAACGCAAACATTAGAGCTATTAGTTTATTGCACGATTGTATCTGATGGGTTTCTGTCATTATAACGTTCCATTTCTGAACTTTTAAAAGGCTCGACAGAAGATAAGGTTCTGTGTGAACTATTTTAGTAGATTAACAGAATTGGTCTATGTACTTACTATATCAACAGATTTTTATCCAAACGATTTTCATATGAGAAATCAAAATTTAAAGAAATTCTCAACTATATTTGTGCTGCAGTATTACATTGAAAACGTATCTGAACTGCTGGAATAATCCTGTGCCTTAGAAAAAATAAGAGCAAAAAAATTTTCTGTTGTATAATTATACAGATAGTTCCGTACAGAATTTTATCTTCTGTCGAGCCTTTCAAAAGTTTAGAAATGGAACACAATTCTCTAACGGCGGAGGTTCTGCCAAGTATCTTCTTTTTACAGAGTATTACCAACAGTCAGTTTAAAACATCTTTGTTCAGTACGGTTATGTGATATTACTTATTATTTAAAAACGCTGTATTTCACATAATTTTAAGCTGCATTTCCTTGTTCGAGATTGCTAAACTAATGAGGTAATTTCCCCAACTTTCAAATCGCTTTTCCCATCAAACCTAGCGGGTTATGGGTATTTGACTACGCTGATTCCGAATATCACCATACCAGCTGTACTTAGGCCTTTAGAGATCCGTTTTCTGCAAAAACCAGTTTTTCAAAAACTCTGGAAAATAACCAAAATCTTTCTTAACGAACCAGGATTGTAGCCCGCATATTTCTGATTAAAATGAGACATCTTTCAATTCTACACGACCTTTTTTTGCAAAGTTATAGAATTTACAAGAAAAGCCTTAAATTAATTTTTTCCTTCTTTCTGTAGTTGTGAGCTAACAATGAACATTTAGGGCTTTTCTTGTAAATTCTATAACTTTGCAAAGAAAGGTGGTGTAGAACCGGGAGATATCTCATTTTAATCAGAAATTTGCTGGCTACAATCATGCCTCATTAAGAAAGATTTTGGTTATTTTCCAAAGTTTTTGAAAAACTGGTTTTTGCAGAAATCGGATCTTCTGAATGTATCAGTTTATCGAACAGTTTTCTCAGATTATCCAATTTTCTGAAAGAGTTTATTCTATGTCTGCTGGATGCAGAATCTGATAAAGAATTTCTTATATTTTCTTTTATAAAATAGAGGCGTTAAATAAGAGTGCCAGCAAAAAAACTACTTTCCAGAGCAACAGTTTCTAAATAGCATCGTCCAATTAGATAGTGGATTGACATCATTGACGAAAACGGTCAGTTTCTTTTATAAATTGTAAAAAACCTTTTGTATCGGTCGACTAAACGTTTGAAAAGACAAAATTTGCCAATTCTCCTATTGTTTCTTGCTCTGCATCAGTAGGCGGCTCTGGAGACGAACAGGTAGTTTTGATGAATATGTATACCATTTTACGGTCATCATTCTCCATTTTCTTGTATAGATTTCACAAAAGACGTGTAACACATTACATTTGGATGATCTGATTTCCACACTTAAATCTTGCATTTATATTCCTAATCGATCGGCAGATGGTCCATTTGTATTTGCTGTTGATCATTGCTTTGCAATCAAAGGTCAAGGCACAGTGATGACGGGTACTATATTATCTGGATGTGTTCGGATTAATAAGATAAAAATTAAGTGGCAAACAAAAGAGCACTTTTGTCGAAAATTTGGGGCAAAAACTCGAGTTTGGAGTCAAATTTTATTTCTATTGTCATTTGAACAGGCCGCATTTTTTCGAGCTGCGGTTGCGATATTCGTGATCAGCATCAAATTCTGAGTCAAACAACGTGTTTTTCAAAATTTTTGGACAAAAAAATGATTTTTGCTTATGCCTGAGATCGACGTGCCGTGATTTTTTGGGCAAAAAATATTTTTTCAAATTTGAAAGTATTGAAAGCGCTATCTTGTTCAGAATTTGATGCTGATTCCAAACATGTATGATTTATAGCGAAATGTTTTAGGACGAAAATGCCACTTAATGGCCCTCCTCCTTTCCTGCATCTGTTTAATCTTTCACAAGAACAAATAAAATTTGTTTAACTGTAAAAGTTGTGCACGTCAAATTTTTAGAGAAAAATGTCAATATTAACATGCTGATACGTATCAGTGTTGTAGATATCTCGAATATTGATATTTTATGAATTAATCCAAAAATAGAATATTTAAATAATATGTCAAAAACAATTGCAAAAAGAGCTGCTGGATATAAACAGTTTCTTTTTTTAAAGTCTATTCCTTATTCAACAAGACTCCGCAGCTACATATCTTAAAACTATCAGCTGTATTATTATCATTCAAATATCCTTGAAATTGCATCATCAAATATTATACAATTCACGTTGCATTGAAACACATACTAAAATGTCAACTTGATAAGTCATCACAACACATGTAGTTTTATTTACAATAAAATGCTAGATAAATAAAATAAAAAAATGTTGTATCGTGCCTTTTTTATTGTACAATTGAGTTTGTGTGAGAAAAAAGATATTTTTTAAATTTAAGTATAATTTTCACATTGTTTGCCCGTCGATCTGTCTTTTCTTCATGATCAATGTCATCGTCTTTTGCTGTTGTCTGTTTTTGTTTTTTAGTTTTTGTAGTGGGAAACATTTGTTGTACTTCGGCTGATAAACCATCTAAAAAGTTGAATTAGTAGAATTTACACAACAATACACTGATAACTGATAATTTTATTATTAACTCACTTGGTATTCTAATTTTAATTTTTCCACTTTGTCCAAATGATGATTCAATATAACCTTGTTCACCGCTTGTTAGTATAACTTTACATCCAATAAATAGATTGATATTCGTTTCTTTTTTAAACAAATCTTTTCCAATAATTGTGTAAATATCTACCATTCGTTCAACAACACCTGTCTTCTCCTTATTTTTATATATACGAATTTTTTCAATTTCATTTTTTGTCATATAATCGATATCGGTAAAACCATCTAGTACATGGCCATAAAATGCTAAACGACAAACATTAGCGTTTATATTTGTGTCCAAACGTGAACCAATTACGATTGAATTTAATTGACATGTAACACTTGTTTCTAATTCAATTAATGCATAAACATTTGGAGTTGGAGTTGATAGAGAGTCAGTGGTTGTTGGGTATTGATCTAAGGCTTCATATTCTCGACTATAATCAAATATTTTATCTTTATCTTCATTAACACTATTGTCACTATTGTTAAATAAAATAATTTTACCCTAAATAACGCAGTAAAATAGCATAAATTATTTAACGATTTAATATCGCGTACCATTACGGTTGAATGTGCAACTGTTATATGGTATTTTGTGCGACTTTCTATTTCGTGTTTAAAATAATGTACTTTGTTCATACGTAAAATTAATGCATAAAATGTTTTTATTACGCCCACTGATGCTATGAGACCACGTTCAAGTTTGTCGGGATCGAACTGTGTAACGCAAATGCCAACTCGATCTCCCTAAATAGCAAGAGAAAAACGAATCGATTAAAAGTAACATCCAACTAACTGATTCTCAATTTTGTTTACCTGTATAGCTCGTTCAATTGGCTTCCTAAACATTTGCATAGATTTGACTTTTCGCGCCTCTTTTTGTTCTGTAATTTCAATAGTCTAAACAAATGATGTACGTTAAAAACTGGAACAATAACGAACACATGTCTTTCTACTAACATCATTAATCCGAACACATCCAGATAATATAGTACCCGTCATCACTGTGCCTTGACCTTTGATTGCAAAGCAATGATCAACAGCAAATACAAATGGACCATCTGCCGATCGATTAGGAATATAAATGCAAGATTTAAGTGTGGAAATCAGATCATCCAAATGTAATGTGTTACACGTCTTTTGTGAAATCTATACAAGAAAATGGAGAATGATGACCGTAAAATGGTATACATATTCATCAAAACTACCTGTTCGTCTCCAGAGCCGCCTACTGATGCAGAGCAAGAAACAATAGGAGAATTGGCAAATTTTGTCTTTTCAAATGTTTTTTGAAGTCTTTTTGTCATCTAAATAAATTAAACTAAGAGCAAAGACGTATTTAGGTAGAAGGCAGTTTGATCTACTATTCAACGCGTTATACTTTAACGATTGTTTCTTGCCGTTGTTTTTCATCAATCAAATCAATCTTGTTTAATACAACAAGCATCTTATCACAGGTAATTTCACCGATAACTAGACATTCAGCCGTTTGTGTTTGTATGCCTTTGACGATGTCAATAACGAGTAACATCATATCAATAATTTGAGCACCTCAAAATATTTAAGGGAAATCTATTTATGTATTTGAAGAAGTACATATATTCTACGAAACCTACCACCAATAATTGTTCGTATCAAAGATGCATGACCTGGACAATCAACGAGTGTAATTTGTAATTGGTCGTATCCGGCTGTTACTAGTTGTTCAGGTGGATCAAGTGGAAAAGATGAAAAACCAAGATCTAATGTTATTCCACGTTCTTGGCTTTGAGGATTTTTGTCAAATGCATTTGTACTATTAAGAGGAAAAAACGCACATTTCTAATCAATCTTTAATTTGGTGTAGTACCTTGCCACTGTACTAAGCGCTTTAGCCAAACTTGTTTTTCCACTATCAACATGCCCAAGGATTCCAACATTAAAGTTTAAAATTGTCATTTGAAAAAAAATTCCAAGATCTGGAAGCAAAAGGCTTAAAATAACAACGATTCAATTTTAAATACCGTAATTGCTTTTGTACGAGAAAAGGGAGTTACAATGCATTTGAGAACCGATCTCATTTGATAACGATCGTTTTGGTCCAGAAGAGAGTGCAGACGATATTGTTTTATTTTCTATAGTATGACCTATTTACAACACTCTTTTTTTTTCAACAAAAAACAAACACAAAAGAACGAAAAGAGTAGGCATATATCAAGAACAACATAAAAAACAGCACTTCATAAGACTTTTCTAGCTGTTTATTGTAAAGTGCTTGACTTATTGTTAGCAAAGAACATCAAGTTGAAAGAGAAAAAAAACAATATAACTATGAACGATCTCGTTTACTACGATGTCGCTCTTTTTCAACTCCGTTGACATTACTACCACCGTCAACGGATCGGTGATGGTGATGTCGGCGATGTGAATGGCTATTATGATGACGACGAGAAGCATGTTCTTGATCAGATGGATTCTCGGCTGAAAAAATAAAAATATTATGTATGGACTATTCGAAAACTGACACAACATACTTCGTTCATCCCGTGGTCTCGATCGATCACGATGTGAGGTTGATTTATGATGTGAATGGTGATGTCGATGGTGATGATGTGATCTCGATCTTGATCTCGATCTTGTGGATCTAAAGAAAAAAGAAAGTATTCTTCACTTTATTTGAATGTCTAGAAAAATTCTCAACTAAGTAGATAATTTCTACAAGCAGTC